CTGGTGTCCCCGGCGCCCCTCCTGCTCCGGCACAAAAGCTGTGGGACAGGTGTTTTTTGCCCCATTCTTGCCCACTGCGTTTCACGGGCGGAATGGTGCACTCCCTACAAAGACATCAAAGCTTCGATATATCTTCTTGCACCTGTTTTTAAACATAGTTTCAGTGTTTAAGATGGATCCACATTCTTGGTTCACTACGATAAGCAAGTCTCTTAACATACTGTGGTACTTCTAGAAGCTCTGTTTTGTTTTTAAATCGATTCCAGCCTTATTTCCTATATTGAAGCAAGGAAGACTGGCAAGACCCCCTGTTCTTTTAAAGTGGAGTCATATTTTTAATACATTAACTGTAAAAGGGAAGTTAATAACAGTACTTATGCCGTGGAAGCATTATGGTGCTGTGTTCATGGTTAAAGAAGACAGATGGCTATAAATCAAGAGTCAAATACGATCATGTTTAGTGCCAAAAGCTCAAATGACAAAGTTTCCAAAAATGCGTGGTGCAAAAGCTGTACAAAAGCTATAACAGTGTTACAGCAGAATCTGTAATATTGTCAAGGACTGAAAATTTTTTAGTTCGGGGGGGGGGAAAGGCGGTATTCTTAAAATTATAATTATTTTTATATTTAAAATCTGTTGACATTTTGAAAAAAGCTAAAGTTTCAGCTTCCATTTTACTGAAAAACTGAAAAAATGTTTAGAAGTTTGCTGAACAAAAAAGTTATGAAGTTCCTACAGGAGGAGACGTTGGTTTTGACGAACTGTTTCTGTGTTGCTTCAGGAGAAGCCAGCCTTGTTCTCGATTTTGACAGCACGGTTCGACAGTCAGATACAAAAATTCTGCACAAGCAAGTAAATTCAGCATTTTCCTGTCCCAAATAAAGGAAGATGGAAGAAGAATAGTTCTAATGAAAAGTTAAACAAACTTTCAATGAACGTCTTCTGCAGTTACAAATCAACAGGGCATTAATTTCTGACGAGAACAAACAAGCAACACCCTTGTATTATATAATCCTATTTAAATGTCAGACCTAGAGCCATTATTTCATAGTCTTTGCATTAGGCAAAGGTTGCAAAATACTTTCTAATGAAAATCATCCTATTAGAACTTTCCACTGTCAATATGTAATTTTCTATGCTTTCTTCCCATCAAATATTTCTGAATTGTGGGGAAATGAAAATGTGTACTGTTCTTCCCTTTCAAAACAGCAACAACGCCACAGAAAATGAAGAAAAGTGAAAAATCTTTCTGGGCAGCATAATACAGAGATACAGTAAGGACAGTGATTTACAGATTTGGTGGTTTTACAGATAGGAGTATTTAAAATTAATTTTTCCATCGTTAGTATGTTTAGAGTCAGATGTGGTAAGACAGACAGCAGGAGTAATTTTGTAGCAATGATGAACTGAAATGGCTTATAAGGCGAGGTGATACCCTTTGTTAAATGCAGGTGGGAAAATACTCCAAACTTCTGAACTTACCAGTTTTTCTTCAGGTATTTTGAGAGAAAGACTTGAAAAACTCTGTTCCCCAAAGTTTTTTTTGTGATTTTTTTTCAGCTGTTGTCAGTTATCAGCCTAATAATGCATGTTATCTCTCAGACTGAACCTTCAGTCACATGCAGATAGACATAGGAAGAATATCTGCATCTCAGGAAATTCATTTTTCTCTCTCTTCCAAAATCTTTTTCCAGTCGATGAGTGATGGTAGGTTAGAGGAGGCATTCACACCAACTCAGATTTACTTCAGCTAATCTAAACTTGTACCTTTTGTGGTGCTTCAGCTGGGAGAAATGTTCTGTCATTTGTGGAAGCAGAGGAAGATTTTATAGCTGTTCAAAGGCACCATGGTTTGGTGAAGCCCCTTGCCCTTGAGGGCTCCACTGTAAACTGAGGTGAGTTGTTTGAGTCTGTCTACTTTGCATCAGCTGGCAGATCATCATAGCTGAGCCAAAGACTTTTGGGGCAGATCCAGCTTTATACTGGTGTCTTCTTTCATGGTCAGAGATAGAGCTGGTGGTTTGGGCAGCATGTGAAGGCTCTTGCGCTTCACATGGCTCAGTTCTTTGAACTCCTGCTCTCCCTGCTACCTCTTCTTTGGGTGGGGGAAGGACAGAGGTAGCACATGGCAGCTGGAGTTTGGATCTGCCACCTAATTAACTGAATCCGTCAAAGGAGGTTGCCAAATTCAGGAGCTGCCTTTGGCAGCTGCAGAGATGGGACAGTCTTCTGCTAGATCACAGCGACTGATGGGCTTGAGCATGTGCACAAGTGAACGTGCTGCTAATTGCTAGCACAGTCCCTGGAACCATTTTGGCCCTGGCCAATTAGCACAGTCCCAAACAATGTCTGAGCACAGTCTGGGAACTAGTGTGGGCCTGGGACTGTTCCTAATAAGCTGTGTGGATGAGGCCACTCTGGGTTTTGGATTGTTTTCTTGGAGCAGGGGAGAAGAGAGAAAGAGTTTAGTTCCATCAATGTGAGCTGTGCCACGTAAGCTGAGCTGCATTGGGGGTACAAAAGGGTCCTTGGACTGTTTATTTACTAATATAAATGTAACCATAGCATTTGTTGCTGAAGTATTATTGTATAGTAGTCACAAACACATGAGAGACTATTTCAAGACAAATAACCATGACTCTCCAGAGACAGCATGTGTGGCAATTCCAAGTACACAGTTTACTGTGAAATTAATATGCACCAACAGTCCCTTGCAGTCTGGTGCCTGAAAGAGAGATGAATTTTTCTGTCTCCCACTATTTCCCCAGGTTTAGAAGTAGACCTGGAAGATACTCCTACATAGGCTTAAGTTAAATGTATACTGTTTTATCTGATTGGCTTAAATTTGTGTAAATGCATTCACACGTATAATCACCTTTTAAAATCATCATGTCTTAGGTTGAACTAATGAATTTGTGTGCGTAATAGTCTTAGAAAATGAAGTGTTAAATGCCCTTATTCCCCAAAATAATTCAATGCATCAATTTTTGAGGTAACTGCCGAAGAATCATTCTAAGTCCATACTTTCATGAAGGCTTAAACTTTTCATTCATAATTCTGGCTGCAAGCTGGTCTTCTGTCACTGATACACTGTGAAACACTGTCCCTCAAGACTGAAACAGTTCATGTGCCAGCACTTATTGTGCTGTACAGTACGGTCACAGTTCCTATTGTCTCACTCTATGAGAAAGCTTATTAGCTTAACTATGCAGAGTTAGAGTCATATTTTCTTTTCACATATGTGAGCTGCACACATTGTGAGAATTGGAGAGGAAAATTTAATCTTTTACTTTTTTCCTGCAAGGCTGAGGTTGCACAGCTTTACTCCAAGCCTGGAGTAAAGTAAAACCAAATTGATTGTACCAATCAATTCTGGTACAAACAATTTCATAGTCTTAAATAAACCACAGTTAGCAGTGACAAGCAGAATTCTAGAGCTATTCCTTAATGTACTGTTGCTTTGAATTGGTTTGTTTTCTTCTGGGTGGCGTAGAGGAACTATGTAGGAAACAATAGCATCAGTCTCAAAGGTCTCGACAGTCTAATGCAGCAAAGAACTGGTAGAAAAGGGGTACAACATGCAAGCAAACTGATTATACTGGCTATAGCTGCGTGAATTCCCAGTTCCATTTTGTTTGTTGGTTGTATTGCTTTTACATACAGAAGCTACGATTTCAGTGTTGGATAACTCTCAGATTCTGACCCTTCAGACATCTAAGTATGATAGCTTAACATACACTGAGTAATTCACATTAATTAACTTTTATAGGACTGGAATTTAGTTTTTAAAATACTAATTTTTAGTTTGAAAATTTTAGTTTTGAGATTTTATCTTTGTAAGAGCTTACTCTGTAATTAGTGACTCTTTTGGCTCCATTCTGTCCAAAATAATTTATTTTGCTGATGAAATATCAGCTGCAGTTATGCTTGCAGTTTTTTTGAGTATTTGCAATGAGACAAAGACTATTCCTCTTACATAGTCCTTTGCAAACCTTACTGTGCTTTAGGTATCAGGATAAATTTAATGGGAGGATTTGTCCCAAATGTCAATTTCTGCATTAAAAGATGAGTTAGCATAAGAACATGATGTTTTGGGATTTTAGTA